TGAAATACTCCTTTGGACTTGAAGCTCAAACACCCAAGTGTGAGAAGCAGCAGAGGACTACTATCCCCATGTACTTTGGGGCCTTTGGACATTGGTTCAAATCTCTCTTGCTTTAAGACTGCACAATGATCAATAACTTGAAACTTCCTTATATTAGCCATTTTCATGTTTCCTTTTCTGCCTGGGATGTGTCATAGTTCAGAAGACAAATTATTTGGTTTTGACTTTGCTTCACATCAAACCTTACTGTTTTCTTCAATAGTGTTCAGGCAATTGAGTACTGAATAGAGGGGAACTTTAATGTATTTTAGTCTAAAAGGCATTACAAGAATTTGGATATTATACCATTGGCCAAGTTGTTATTGTTTTACAAATACCAAATGCCCCATAGAAGTTTGTTTACATTTTTCCTCAAGCTGATAATGGTGCCTCTAAAGTGGACCATAAATACATGTATATCTTAGAGATATGCATGTATCTTCAACTTACACTTGGTCAAAGTCCTAGCCTAAGAACAATTTGTTCTTGTGATGTGACGCTGCTCGATACTCAATCCCTCGTGCATGGATCACTGCAATGTAAGTGAATGGCAAAGTGGGGTGACTAGGTTAGATGGCAGTCAGTTATGAGAAAGAATAGGGTCTATGGCCTTAAAGGCTCATCGAAGGACAAACATCCACCTAAATGAATTGTCAGTTAAGTCCAAAGAGAAGAAGCACATCAGCCTGTGTAGTCAGAGCGTTCATAAAAGTATAATCCATCATCAGAGGGAAGAACTGAATTCGAGCTCAAATTCATAGTACTTTAAAAGTTATGAGAGGGAGGGGGAAAATGAGTTGATACCAAGGGCTCAAGTAGAAAGCAAATGTTTTGAGAATGAGGGCAATAAATGTACAAATGTGCCTGACACACACGCAAAAAAAGTTAAATGACAGAGCAGCACTGATCAAGATCCATTGCAAAGTTCTCACATCTATTGAGTTCCTTCTGATGAACCACCAAAATATCCATGCTACACGGGTCTCATAGGTTTGAGAAAATGAAGTGCGGGGGATGAGAGAGCACTTGTAGAGTCAACCCCTCATTATTTTATGATGGGAATATAATCATGTGTTTGTTTAGATGTAACTTAACAAGAAACCATCTATAGCAGTGACCCTGAGCTACACCCCTCTACCTTGTCTCACAGTGTATCCTGTGATAGTGTCCAGGCACAATTCTCATTGGTACTAGCTAAGCCAATGACCCAGTTCTCACTGGGTGTTCTGAATCGCCCAGGCTTCCTCCCACCCCTCCCTAAGAGCCAAGACCTGCATAGCCAGCCTGTCCCCTAAGGATGTTGTGTCCCTCAGTTATGAAATCCCTGTAACATAAAATCTTTGTTAAACCAAACTTTGTTAACCCAGTTTGTGCTTGTTTTTCCACTACTTGTGTCTGCCTGAAAAAACTATCGAACTCAGGTTGTGTATTTATCCTGTGAGAACAAAAGGGTAGGGAGACCGACATTTGGAGAAAGGATTACTCCCCCCATGCCCCTTCTCCTTCCCCATGCATGGGGAAACTCAGAATATTTCCAAACCACCTGGTTTCTACAATCTGGCAACAGTGATAGAACTATATAGGCCCTCTTTGTGTGCACCCTGCAACTCAAGGACTTTGAGGAGGAACTTCAATGCATTTGGACTGTTACACTGTGCAAGGATGCTAGGACTTGTACACAAGGCTATGAGATAGGCCACTCCAAGATATTCTCACATTTGCAGGTCATGGAAGGCAGACTAGCAGAACGTGATGACCACTATCATTCTCTCAGCTGTCGGACTGGCCCCTATGACGTCTCCTGCTTTTGTTCCCACATTTGTTCAGGAGAGACCAGTGCCAGGAGGACAACATGCTTGAAAACAGGAGGGAGGCAAAAAAAAAAAAAAAAAGGTTTTTGACTAAGTGGATGGACACTGACTATAACAATGGACTCACACATGGGAACATTTGTGAGGATGGTACAGGGCAGGGCAATGTTTCATTCTGTGTATATCGGGTTTTATAAGTTGCAATGGACAAGCTGACACCTAACAACATAGAAAAGGTTGGTAATGTTGCACTTTTATTAGGGGCTCATACAACTCTTATCACAATCCATACATACATCAATTGTTTAAAGCACATTTGTACATTCATTGCCCTCCTCATTCTCAAAACATTTCCTCTCCACTTAAGCCCCTGGCATCAGCTCATTTTTTCCCCTCCCTCC